AAAAAAAAATATATATATATATCTATGTTTGAGACTGAATATGCAAACAGAGAGTGACCAGACTCCCTCATCACCCCATAAACCACAACTTCTGCAGCAGTCAGGACTTGGGCAATGACTGCCAGTTGCCCTCCTTTTTGCACCTCCCCACTTCATCTCAGGACCAACCAAGAGAACGCCAATTATGCTCCCCAAACCAATTACATAAAACATCCTGCTTCAGGTTAGCCAGCCTGTTTCCCCACTAGCAGCCTCTAATCAGAGCACACCTGAAGCCTTCCCTTGCTTTCACCATAACGCCTTCCCACTCTTCTGACTACATTTTAGTCTCTGCCAAACGCAAGTAATGGTGGCTGACTTCTTTTCTACAGCAAGCTCTGGATAAATGGTCCCTGTTCTCATTTGGGTGGTTTTTGTTTATCTCTACATGTCTCATTGTGGCTGAGCTTCTGGCAACTACAAAGAATGTTTTGTGGTTAATGAAAAAAGAATAAAAATTTCACACGTGGTATGAGTTCAACTTTGAAAAAGACAAATATAGGGAAAAAACACCAAAATAATTAGTAGTCTTAAATACAAGGAAAAATTGTTTTTCTACTTTTCTGTTTTTTCCTCCTTTCTGCAATAAACATGTAATCCTTTAAAAATTCATATACATATTTTTTTTCTTGGAAATTATAAGAATGACTTGAATGGTTTGGTACAACATATCACTTGGTAAGGAGTTTTAAAATATACAGTTATGTTTACTTACAGGACAAATATATTTAAAACTTTATTTTTATTATCCATTTATTATTTAGCGTTACTGTTCTTGTTAAACATTTTATCATGCGAGGTTAAATAATGGATGAAAGTACTATTTTATTGTACATTTTTATTTATTTATTTATTTTTGCGGCATGCGGGCCTCTCACTGTTGTGGCCTCTCCAGTTGCGGAGCACAGGCTCCGGACGCGCAGGCTCGGCGGCCATGGCTCACGGGCCCAGCCGCTCCGCGGCATGTGGGATCTTCCCGGACCGGGGCACAAACCCGTGTCCCCTGCATCGGCAGGCGGGCTCTCAACCACTGCGCCACCAGGGAAGCCCTTATTGTACATTTTTGTACCTTCTTTTATCACGTACAAAGGATAGTGTCCTCTTTTATGTTGTTTACTTTCTTTGGTATATTCTCAAATTTATACTTCTACATGGCATATAAAGCATTTATTTAAATTTCAGGACTTCCCTGGTGGTGGTCCAGTGGTTAAGAATCTGCCTTCCAATGCAGGGGACAAGGGTTTGATCCCTGGTCGGGGAACTAAGATCGCACATGCCACGGGGCAACTAAGCCTGCATGCTGCAATTACTGAGCCCGTGCGCCGCAACGAAGAGCCCCGCATGTCACAAAGAAGATCCCACGTGCCGCAACTAAGACCCGATGCAGCCAAATAAATATTTAAAAATTCCAAGTCATTTAAATCTTTCTAATTGATTACAATCAATTTGACTCTGCCAATTTTGTGTAATTCTTATGTATATCTTTACTTAATTTTATTATGACCAAGAGCATAGTCTTTTTTTTGGGCTGCATCAGGTCTTAGTTGTGGCGCACAGGATCTTCGTTGAGGTATGCGGGATCTTTCGTTGCGGCGCGTTGGCATCTCTCTAGTATGGCCTGCAGGTTTTCTCTTCTCTTGTTGTGGCCCGCAGGCTCCAGGATGCGCGGGCTCCAGAGCACGTGGGCTCTGTAGTTTGCAGCACACAGGCTCTCTAGTTGAGGCATGCAAGCTCAGTAGTTGTGGTGGGCAGGCTTAGTTGCCCCGCAGCATGTGGAATCTTAGTTCCTTGACCGGGGATCGAACCCACATCTCTTGCATTGTAAGGCGGATTCTTTACCACTGGACCAACAGGGAAGTTCCAAGAACGTAGGCTTTCTAGCAATAAATTCTTTGAAATTAATTTATGACAAAGCATGTAGTCAGTTTGTGTAAATACCAGAAAGGAAATTACTGACTTTTTGTTGTTGTTGTCATTAAGAAAGAAAACAGCTGTTCCGTTTCCTTGGTGTTGTTTTGCTGCATTTATCGAGAAGTGACTCAGCAGTTGTAAACAAGGTAAAATCACGGAGATTATTTTAAAACCATCCATAAAACCTAGAGATAGAAAATAGATTGGTGGTTCCCTGGAGCTGGGGGAGGGTACACAGATTGGCAGCACATGGGCAGGAGGGGTCTTTCTGGGGTGATGGAAATATTCTAAAGTTGAATTGTGGTGATGTTTGCACAACTCTAAGTTTACGAAAAAAATCATTGAATTATAACTTAAAACAAGTGAATTTTATGGCATGTAAGTTTTGCCTCAATTAAAACTATTAAGTTTAAAACCAAACAACAGCCACAGAGATGTTATCTTTTAGTACACATAAGAGTGATCCTGTGTTGGGGGCAAACGCTGGACATGATGATCAGCTCCTGCTGCAAAGCTAAGGGGTCCTCATGGCTCAGCCTGTTGCCCGTGTCCCCACAGTCTGCTTTCTGAACCCAAAGGCTTGCTGCAGCCCAGGCCTGAGCACACATGTCCTGCACCTGGACCCAGGCTGTTTTTATCTGCGGAGCAGGTTTCCTCTGCTGGTGCAGGTCTTCACAGGCTCTGCCCAGCCTGCATCGGCAGCTTCCATGTCCCCATCCTCCCAAGGGGTCTTGAACCCCCACCTCCTGTGAAAGACTAAGTGTTGGGAACCTCTGGAATATGGCCTGGGCCCCATACCTGTCTGGGGAGAAGCCAGGAGCCCAAAGCAGTGGTTGAGGGTCACATTAATTCTCTATACACAGTGTAGTTTTCAGTTCTTTCAGGGATTTATTAAGGCATTGAGCATAGTGTGATTTTTAGCCAACTGAAATGAATACAAGGAAATATATCAGGACCTGAGGGATATGCTTTTAAGGTTAATGGTGAGGATGATGAGCTGAAAGAGAATTGAGAGTAACGCCTGTGCAGGCGGCACCCACCCTGGTGCAGCAGATGCTTTCTGCCCATGTGCCCCAGCCAGAAGCTCAGGCTCAGGGGCTTCTGGAGAGCATCTCGAAGTTCTCACCACTTTGGTGCCCAATAGGCACTCGACCCCCCTACCTGGCGCCAAGTGGCAGGAAAGCCCCCAGAGCATGCAGCTGCAGAAGAGGAGGTGGAGGACAGGGTGTGGCCTGGCCACAGTGCAGGGTAAGCAAAGGCAGATCAGAGAGCCCCTGACACTATGCAGGGGCCAGGAGGTCCAAGGCAGAACGAGGGGGTGGGGAGCCCCTGCCTAGGTCCCAACTGCGACTGTTCAGCCTTCTTTCCATTTACAACTCACTGCTTCTGGGGAGAACTGGAGGGGTGTGTCCTTCAAGAGAAAACAGAACAGGAGGGAGGAAGGAGAGAGAGGCCGGCCCCCAGGCCTTGGAGCCCTCAGCCCAAAACCGCAGACTGCTCATGGTCACTGGAGGTGCTAAACTGTCTCTCCACCTTCCTCTGGT